GGGTTCTCCTCTGCTACAAATCGTTTGAAGCCAGCCTGGGCTATATGATACTCTGTTATTTGTAACCTACTCTACATAGACATTTTCCAAACAACCTCGACTGTCCAAGGTGAATGACTATGAGAACAAGCCTAGTTGCCTACATCCCATCTTTCTGGGGCTGATGAGGTGGTAGTTATTTAGTCTAGTATAGCAAATTTTTTCATTTGTGAAAAAAATGTGGCCGCTTGCTCACAAATAATGACACAGAAATTTATTATTAATTATGAAAGCTTAGCCTTTAGCTTAGGCTTGTCTCAACTAGTTCTTATAATTTAAATTACTTCATTTATATTAACCAACATTCTGCCATGTGGCATTACCCCTCTTCCATCTTGTATTTTCTGTTTCTTCTCCATGTCTGTCTGGCTACTCCACCTTTATTCTTCTCAGAGCTCTCTCTGCCCAGAAGTCTCCTGCCTAACTGTTGGCTGTTCAGCTTTTTATTACATCAATCACCACAATACATCTTCGCTCAGTGTACAAATATCCCACAGCATCTCTCCCTTTTTGTCTAAATAAAAAGGGAAGGTTTTAACATTGGGTGCCAAATGTGGCAAGCTTTCATGTTGCACTACCTTTGGATAATCAGCCCTCAAATAATGACCAGAGACTTATTATTAATTATGAAAGCTTGGCCTTAGCTTAGGCTTTTTCCCAACTAGCTTCTATAACTTAACCAATTTTAAAAAGAAATATATGTTCTGGCACATGGCTCAGTTACCTCTTCTTAGTATCATACATCCAACTTGTTCTGAGTCTGCTGGCAAAATCACATGCCTAGATTCCTCTTCTCAGTTTCTCTCTCTGCTGGGAAGTTCCGCCTATTCTCTCCTCCTTAGCTATTGGCCATTTAGCTCTTTATTAAACCAATCAGAAGGTGCCTTAGGCAGAGACACATCTTTACAGTGTAAACAAATATTCCACAACAGTCTAGTTCTGGTCTATTGAATTGATGGGTTAGATAGGCTTCACACACAGCTCTTTCCTGATATTAATTTTGAATGTCAAGAAAGGCTTTCCAGAGGTTTCCCCCAAAAGAATGGCTCTATTGGGGTTCTTCCAAAGGGGTAAGTTAGCAAGCATGGCTTGAACCCACAACAATGCTAGAGATTTGTTTTGTGGGTAGCAAATCAAGAACAAGAAAGAAATTGGGCCAGGGACATGGCTCAGTGGTACAGTCTCCATTGCTCTGTCTGTCTGTCCATTATCTCTCAGCTCTCATCCCTCATCATGATCATCTGTCTATTGACTATGTCGATCATCTAACAATCCACCATTATCCACCTAACTATCATGTATCCATTAAATCAATCTACCATTAATCATCCTGCCTCGAGGTTCCTTCCTTGTGATTGTTTCTGCGTTGTAAGCTGAAATAAGCCATTTCCTTTTCAAGTTGCTTTTGGTTGTGGTGTCTTAGCACAGCAATAGAAACACTAAATTAGTGCTAAGGCCCACTTTGATATTAACTCCCTCCTCAGGTGAGAGAGCCTGGCCCAGGATTGTCTGTTAGCTTGAAACCCACTCACAGACTATGTCTTAGTGAGGTGCTTGTTATGTCCGTGAAAGGGAGATGAAGCTGCTTGAGAAGGGGCTAGATTCTAATACTACATTCTTACAGGTAGGCAGAGAGTCCTGCAAGATTGGAGCTTGCCAGTCAGTCTAATCAGTAATCCTCAGGCCAGTGAAAGACCCTGTCTCAAATAAAGATGCAGAGTTATTGAGGAAGAAACCAGATATTAACCTCTGGATGCCACATGCACATGCATACATTTGCACCCACATACATGCATTAAGCATGCACATGAACATTTGTACACTCACAGGAGTCAATACAGAGGCTGGTCTATAACACACACACACACACACACACACACACACACATTGGTTTTTCGAGACAAGGTTTCTCTGTGTAGCCTTCGCTGTCCTGGAACTCACTCTGTAGACCAGACTGGCCTTGAACTCACAGGGGTAAACCAGTCTCTGCTTCCCAAGTGCTGGGATTAAAGGCGTGCACCACCACCACCTGGCTTTGTTGTTGTATTTTTTGAAACAGGGACTCTGAGGTGCTCTGCTGGCCTGGAGGAGCTCACTACATAGACCAGGATGGCCTCAAATTTGCAGTGATCCTCTGCCCCTGCCTCCTGTGTGTTGGGATTACAGGTGTGCCACACGCTGACTCTTTCCTGGTTGAATTTGACCATCCTGGGAGTCTCAAAAGTACCATCACATGGTCCCTGTCTGGTTCACATATGTTGCAGCAGGGGTCAAAGCTTCCTTATCGACTCTTAAGGTTGACTAGTTCTTCACTGTATGAGCACACCACATTTTGTTTATGCATACTACATAAGTAAATCTAGCCATTCACAATCTGTCCAGCCATCCACCCATCTCTGCACGTTCGCCCGTTGGCTATCATGAGTAATGGTGCTTTGAATATAGGTGTGCAGATATCTTAGGGAGTCTTTGCTTCCAATTCTTTTTTTTTTAATTGAATTTTTTTCATACAATGTATTTTGGTAATGCTTTTCCCCTCCTCCAACTGCTCCCAGATCTTCCCCAACTCCCCACCCACCCAACTTCATGCCCTCTCTGTCTCTTTAAAAAACAAACAGAAACAGAAACCCCAAAGGAACACACAAAACGCCCCATGAAAACACAAAAACACAAAACAACATATACAAGCAAAAGACTGACCATTAAGACAGAAAATGTCCAAACAAAGCAAAATGAGACAAAGTTTACAAAACTACCATTCTCTTTGTTTTGTTTTGTGTTGGCCAACTACTCCTGAGCGCGGAGTGGTTGATGTGCCCAGTGAGTGACTCCACTGGAGAGAACTAATTTTTTCCTTGGCCATCGATATCAGTGGCAGAGAGCTTCTTGTTAGCTTACGTCCACTTCCCATCTCAGTGCTGGGACCCCATCTGGCTTTCATCTGTGCAGGCCTTGTGCATGCTGCCACAGTCTTCATGAGTTCGAGTCCATCAGTTCTGTTGTATCTGGAAGACACTGTTTCCTTGGAGACATCCATCCCCTCTGGCTCTTAAAATCTTCTCATCTCCTTTTCCCAGAGATCCTTGAGTCATGAGGGGAGGGGTCTGATGAAGACATCCCATTTGGGACTGAGTGCTCCAAAGTCTGTCACTCTGCACATCGTGCAGTTGTGGGTCTCTGTTAGTTCCCATCTACTGCAAGAAGAAGCTTCTCTAATGATGGCTGAGCGAGCCATTGATTCGAGTACCAGCCTGCTGTGGCTACTGGAGGTCCCTGGTAGAAAGCATTTCTGGGGATCAGTGGAGAACACAGAGGAATGAAGACGGGCTAGAAGGGAGGGCTGAGAGGGTCAGCAGGAGAGAGCTCCCAATCTTTTTTTCAATCTTTAAATTTAAAAAATGTTTTGTTTATGGGTGTCTTGCCTGCATGCATATATGTGCACCATGTGTGTGCCTGTGGAAGCCAGAAGGTATCAGATTTTCCTATAACTGGAGTTATAGACAGTTGTGAGCTGTCCTGTGGATGCTGGGAATCAAACTTGGGTCCATCGGAAGAGCAGTCAGTGTTCTTAACTTGAGCCATCTCGCCAGCCCCAATATTTTAATCTTAATGAGCTGATGGGAGAAGATAAGTTTACTATAAGGCAGGTATTTCCAATTTTATGATGTGTCTCTAAAAGGAACTATTCCCTGGGCCGAGTTAAATGAATCATTTGGTGGTGGTGGTGACAGGTCCTTGTCATCTATGTCTCTTTTTGGATTTCTCTGAAGTGGAGACATTCTAGGTGTGGGTGATGTGACTCTTAGGTCATCTTTAGGAGCCCTGCCCTCTGCAACTCTGCACAAGACACTTGGGTGTCACAGCTCCTGGCCATAGCTGCCTAGACAGTTTCATTTATCTTCTGCCTCCATTGCTTACAGTGCTGGATTAAAGGTGTGTGTGTGTGTGTGTGTGTGTGTGTGTGTGTGTGTGTGTGTGTGGTGTGTGTGTGTGTGCTCGTTCACGTGGCACGTGATCGTGCTCAGCTGTTTACATGGGTGTTGGGGATATGAACTCCCGTGCTCAGCTGTCTACATGGGAGTTGGGGATATGAACTCCCGTCCTCAGCTGTTTACATGGGTGTTGGGGATATGAACTCCTGTCCTCAGCTGTTTACATGGGAGTTGGGGATACGAACTCCGGTCCGCAGCTGTTTACATGGGTGTTGGGGATATGAACTCCCGTGCTCATGCCTGTGCAGTGAGTTCTTTCCCGCTGCACCATCTCCTCAGCCCCAGAGACTTACAGTTCCTATGAAGCCCGTGACTGTCACGCAATCATCTGTCATCACAGCAACAGTCACCTTCCCTCACAGCAGCAAGGCAGGCTGACCTTCCAGAAACTGGTTGGGAGACTCTGCAGGCTGCATCAGGACCCTTAGTGGGAGGCGACCAGGGGGTCCCAAGAGCATACTCACTGCTTTCTTTGTTTCAAATATTTTATTAATCTGTTTGGCCAAACAAGTAATGGAAACCGAGGATAATAATTGGCTAAAAAGTTCAGGTCATGAGTGCCCCTTTCCCCCAGGAAACAAAAGACTCCATGGTTCCAGAATGCACCATTGGGATATGACACCATTTCAAAATCAGGTTCCCATTTATGTGTAACAATGTAAACTTCAAAAATAGTAAACTCTAGCCCCAGTCCCTCTGTACAGATCTATCACAGATAGAAGTTTCTGGCAGACCTAGATTGTGTAAGTAAACAGCCCGGTGCTTAAGAGCGTCTTAAAAAGGTTTACAGACTCAGTAAGTAATGCTTCAGTCTTGGTCTGGAAGTGAAAGCCACCAGCAGTTCCTCCCACACAGTGCACCTGCTGTGCGTGCTGCACACCGCCAGCCCCTTCCAAACGCATTGGCCACCAACGTTGCCACTTTTGTACACACATATACACATAGAGTTTGTGTTTGTTTTTTTTAAAGATTTCTACATCTAAATTATAAGACGGCGCCAGTGACATACGATGTCACCTCGCTTCACATAGGTAAGGACGGAGATGCGTAGAAGGCACTAAGTTCTCCTCATGATCTTGTGAAGATGCAAGAGGGCAGGCCAGCTAGGTCAGATTCCTGCTTTCTATCATGTGACCTGGCACAGGCCTGTCCTCCGATTATCTTCATGTCCATTATCCTTGTCTGTGTCACCTTTCTCTTCCCTTCCCATCCACCCATCTGTCCACCCACCACCCAGCTATCCATCCGTATGCTTATCCATCTATCCACACACCCATCCATCCATCCATCCATCCATCCATCCATCCATCCATCCATCCATCCATCCATCCATCCAGATTAACTGACAATTATCTTTTGGTTCATTGAAATTCCTTAAAATTAAGTATACAGTTCTGGTATAAAACAAAATATGACCTACTATAGCTGAAAAATAATCACAGTGTACAATGTCATTTTCAGTTGCTAAGAGGCAGAGCATTTGCCCCGGTGTGTCCTGCTTGCCTGCCCTCTGAAGCAATCAATGCAAGGCTCATTGAACCCCACTTTACATTCACTGAAGAAGCACTGAGAGGCTCTTTTCTCTTCCGTTTTGAATTGGTACCCTTAAGTGGAAGGTCTGATGTGGAAAAGTGCAAGCAAATTGGACATGCCAATAAATACCATAGAACTTACTGCAGATTACCAAAACTGTACATGTATGTACACCTCACCCAACTGAGGTTCCTCCCTTAGGAATAGACCTCAAAAGCATTACCATGGGGGCATCCCAGAGTCCTAGAGGAGTGGTCTCAGCGAGCGAAGGATGGGCGGGCTCTTCTGCTCCTGTTCTGGGGACCTGGGCCCAAGTCCCCACTGCTCTCTGTAGTCTCTTCCTTCTTCCTCACTTTGAGGCGAGTGAGCAACTTGATTAACCAGACATCCCACTCTTCTGGCAGGAGCAGCAGGAGGAAGCCCAGGCCGATAATGATGATGGCTATGACCCGGACTCCGTTGAAGACTATCTGACTGGTATAGTGATCGACCACTGTGGGAGACAGAGTACCATTTACTCAGTAGCAGGGCTGTGGACATGGTGATATGTCTGCGCATCCACTAAGGCAGGAGGTTTGAAGTCCTTTGGGACCCCAGAATCCTGCTCAGCAGGATTTTGTTAACGCCTGCTGGGGTTGCCTCTAGGCTATCGTGGTGAATTTCTTCAGACCTGCCTCCTCTGAGGCCTTGGGCTTGTGTGTTGCCATCTGAATCAAATCCAGCTCCTGAGTGTAAATGGTGATTTGAGTGTGAGAAAAGATAAATCAGGGTAACTGAGAGAGTAAGTGGAATTAGACATGCCAAGGTTTAATTCCAGCCAATTTGGGGTTTCAGGATGAAGAAAATATTATTTTTTTAATTTATAATTTTGGTACTTTTTCAAATTACTTGTGATGTCATACATGACATTCATTTTATAATTTAATCTCACTGTATGTGCATACATGTATATATGTTTTGATAAACAAACCTGACCCCGCTCTTTTAGGATACTATCTGTGAATTTCTTTAAAGCTTTACTTATTTAGTCATTAATTAGTTTATTTTGCATTTATGCAGATGATCATGTGAGTGCCGGTGGCGGGGCACAGCGTGGTCAAAGGACAACATTTGGGAGTCAGTTCTCCTTCCCCCTGCAGGTCCCAGGAATCTAACCTCGGTCACCAGGCATAGTGACAGGTATCTTTACCCAGCCATCTCAAACCCTGCCCCTTGTTTTCATTTCTTGAAATAGAGTCTCACGTACCCCAGGCTATCCTTGAACTCCCTATATAGCCGAGGATGACTTTGAATTCCTGATCCTCAAGCCTTCACCTCCCAAGTGATGGGCTTACAGGTCTGTGCCAGCATACCTGGCTGTACTGAGGAATTCTTGTTACTCCTTGCCCATTGATTCCTAGGAGGCGCTAACCTCAGGTGAAGCTCTTCCTCTAAGGGTCTCCCTAAAGATGCCTGGCTTGTCCTGATGAGCAGTCAGTGACAGGACTAAATGGGAAGTAGGTGCAGATCAGTTTGTAAAAATCGCGTCACTCCCTAACAGCCCCGATGGTGTTTGGGGTGCCCAGCTGTTGAAATCCCCTTCGTTCCTGTTGGAGGACACACCTCTTCTCTCCTTGGCTAACCCAGGCTGACCCATTTGAAGCCTGCCTGCCTTAGGAGAGACAGTCTGACCTTAAAAAAACAAGGCAACCCCCCCCCCCAAACTCCCCTCTACTCAAGGCTGCAAACCTTGGAGTTCACAGCTCTTAAAGCTGACTGACTGGGTAGCTCACCTGCCCACCCTGCTCACCCTGGTGGGGGCAGCTTTTCCTCGCAGCCGTGGCTTGGCTCCATCCCTAACTCCTGCCTCCTTCCACTTCTCTCCCCTCTTTGACCTCCCAGGTTGTCTAACAGGGAGGCAGAGAAGGAAGGGGAGGTAATAATTCACCCTAAAACCAGTTTTTGCCTGAGTAGTCCAGTAGACTTTCAGAAACACTTTGGTTTTTTTTTTTTTTTTTTTTTTTTTTTTTTTGGTTTTTCGAGACAGGGTTTCTCTGTGTAGCTTTGCGCCTTTCCTGGAACTCACTTGGTAGCCCAGGCTGGCCTCGAACTCACAAAGATCCGCCTGCCTCTGCCTCCCGAGTGCTGGGATTAAAGGCGTGCGCCGCCACCACCACCGCCCGGCAACACTTCAGGTTTTAACATTGACAAGTGTTCTGCTAATTCATCAATTGGGGATGGTACACCCAGGATCCTCTGAGCAGATGCCAGGGTAAGCTCTGCAGGCTGGTGACTGCCCTGCTTGGCCAATTTTCAGAGTGCTGGTCCTTGCCTCCCTCCTCCTTACAGGAACTGGATTCCTGCAGTTGACACAGGATCAACTCTGTTTGGGCTGCAAGATGTGGCCAAAAGTAACTCTCAGTGTCAAACTAATGCAGGAGATGCCTTTTACCATACCCTCGTGTAACACCAAATTAAAACACAAGGGCTGCAGGGATGCTGTGTAGAAAGTGCCTTCCGGGAGCCTATCACAGATAGACTGCTTTTTGGCAGCTGTCCAGGAGCTCAGGTGCCTTCTGCACCTTGAAGGTCTTGGTCTCTCTCTCTGCACATGTGTATGTATACCCACAACATATGTACATATGCGTGGAGATGAGGGGCTACCTCAGGTATTGTTCCTTGGGCACCATCTACCTTTCGGGCAACAAGATCTCTCCCTTGCTTAGAACCCATTAAGTAGGCCAGCCTAGCTGATCCGTGAGCCTAGGGATCTCCTGTCTATGCTTTCTGGGAGCTGTAACTGGGTGTGATGCCATCCTGGCCATCCTCCCAGCTCTGAAGAGCTGTCTTAAGGATTGTTTCCTTCATTTCTCAATAAGAAGCAAAAAGTCATACACAGCCTTCAAGTGGGAGGAGACACACAGACCAAAGGGCTGAGGAATGGGGACCACAGACATCTAGGATCAGGTTAGGAGTCCTGGGCTGAACCCAGTGTTCCGAGGCCTCTTCACACTGTGGCCATGAGGCCCCTGAGAGAGTGTGGCCAAGGTGAGGCATTTACAGAACTGTGGGACAGGGTGGGCGAAGGGCAGTGTCTCCGAAATCAAGAGTGGCTCCCTGGGAGGACAGTCCTCTAGTGGCCTGGAATCAGGGGTCCAGAGGCAACTTTGCAGGGAGCCAGGACATGAGATAGAGGATCGTGGAGAGGAAATCCAAAGCTCAAACCAACAGAAGCAGAAAGGGAGGGTAGGTGAGGGATAGGTGAAGGCAGCTTCGGGAAGACCTGCCAACTCATGTCAGCTACAAGGCTCCAGGGCAGGACAAACTGGGTTCCCATACCCAAACAAAGGGCTTTCACCCTCTGCCAGGAGGCAGGAGGAAATAACATTCCTGCCTCACTGGAGTCCCAACCTGTTTCCACATGACTACCTAGTGTGGCAACTTCTCCCCAACAAAGTCACTTGCAAAACCTCAGTCATTTTCTGCTCCATGATTTTCTATAGTTCTATTCTCCATTAGGACAGAGACAGCCTTGGACTTTCTATGCTCAACTGGACATAGAAATCGCTCTGCTAAGCTGGGCCTGATGGCATATGCCTGTAATCCCAGAGGCTGAGCAGGAGGACTGCCAATCAAAGACTGCCTGGGCTATGACGTGAGTTCAAGACTAGCCTGGGCAGCTTACTGAGAAGAACCTATCTCAAAATAAACTGTTTAAGAAGGACTAAGGAAGCAGAGCTCAGTGGTGGGGAGCTTGCTTAGGGTGCACCAGTGCCTTGGCTCCATCCCAAGTACGTAAAATAGGTAAAGAAAAGAGCAACAACAACAAAATGTGGCTCTGCCATAGGGAAATACTGCAAACACAACGAACAGCATTGTACTAAATGCATTTCCTTTCTTTGCAGAGGTTACACATGCCTTGTGAGCAGCCACAGGAAGATTCGATGGGAGTGGCCATGTGAAAGTGTGCTCTCGAGTGTATGTAAGTCCACAAGATGGTGTGTTTCTAATGAACAGAGACAGAACTCCATGAAACGATGCTTACCTGCGTTCACAGGTACACTGAGGACAATTCCGAGAGACATCAGTGTGGGATACGTGACAGCGATTCCAAAATTTAATACAATATTGAATGCTGAAATAGAGAATTCCAAAGACTGGAGTTACTCATAACTGTCCTGTCCTTGGCCCCTGTGCTGACCTATTTGACCCCGCCCCCCTCCCCAGTTTCTTAGGGAGACAGGAGGCAGGCATTACAAGGAATCCTGTCATTCCACAAACTTCAGCTTTTTCTTGAAGACCCAGGCTTGGGGGTGAAAAGAATTCTAACAAGTCACAGAACCTGAGCTTTGGAGAGGGGGAAGGGTCTGAAAAAGCTGACCAAAGAGGCAGTGCTAGAAGAGAGGACCAGGCATTCTGATGGGCTCTACAGTTCTTCCTTGTTGGTTCTGTTCCTGGGGTAGCTGAAGGGGCATGCGCGGTGTCCTGGTTAACTTTAATAGTCAGCTTAACAGCCTATTGTCGCTGAAATGGGAGTCTCAACTGAAGATTGCCCCCCCAGATCATATTGACCTTGTGGACCTGTCTGTGGGGAAATGGATTTGATTGTTAATTGATGTAAGAGGGCCCAGTCCACTGTGGGCGGCATCGATCCTTAGGCAGATGGTCCTGGGCTACAGAAGCTACTTAAGTATAACCCAGTGACTGAGCTAAAACACAAGCCAGCAGGTAGTGCTCCTCCACGGTTTCTGCTTCAAGCTCCTGTCGTGAGTTGCTGCCCTGATTTCCCTTAGTGTTGGACTGTGACCCGGAAGTGTAAGGCAGATGCATCCTTTCCTAAGTTGCTTTTGGCCATTGTGTTTGTCGCAGCAACAGAATGAAACTAGAATGAGCTCCCGAGGTGCCTGCTCTGTCACTCTCCTGCCTACCAGCAGCCCTCATCTAGGGGTGGTGACGCTGGTGAGACTCTAATAAGAACAGCAATTAATCATTTTTACTGAACAGTTGCATTTAGCAACGCCCCACGGGTTGCTGCATTAACTCACTAACCCTGGACTGCCACGGTGCTGTTCAGAGCAGCAACAGTTGCATTGACAGTTACCATGACAGTGACCACAGTTCTGCAAAGCCCTCATAAAAGCCAACGTCTGGGACGGGGGAGATGGTCTCCAGCTAGGAGTATCAGTTGCTCTCACAGAGAACCCAGGTTTAATTCCCAGCACCCACATCAGACAGCTCACTGCTGCTGATAACTGCAGATCCAGGACATTCGACAACCTCTACTGGCCTCCATGGACACCTGCATATACTCACTCACTCACTCACTCACTCACTCACTCACTCACTCACTCACTCACTCATACACACACGTACATGTAAATAAAAATAAGGGGGTAGAGAGATGGCTCAGTGGGTTAAGAGCGCTTGTTCCTCTCACAGAGGTCCTGGGTTTGGTTTCCAGCACCCACATTGTAGTACACAGAATCTGTAACTTCAGTCTCAGGGGATCTGATATCTTCTTCTGACCCCCACAGGCATCAAACATACACACGATGCACATACATGCAAGGAAAACTCATAAAGATAAATAAACTCATATACCCATACACCTACAATGAAAAGAAATCTTTTTAAAGGCCCTATCTACTAAGGCCACCCTTAAAAAAAATACTTAAAAAAAAACTTTAAATACTGTTCTTTAAAGAAAAAATGCAAGGACTTTGAAGAAGAGTGAGAACTTTAGGGCAGCAAAGGACCTTGGAATTTTTTTCCCCATTCCTAACTTAGTTTTCCATAGGGTTCTGTGTCTGTTGCTATTTGCTGAGACTCCTGCCCAGGGCGGGTGCCACTTACTCAATAAGAGAATGGAAAACCCACAGAGGTTTCCCCATGGAATGTCGTCGAAGGAATTCCAGTACTCCACCCGGGTGAAGTAGAGGATGATGGGGATGCAGGTGATGAAGAGGACGTTGAACACACCCAAGATGGACAGGAATAAGGCCGCTTCTCCGAACTTGGCGCTGCCCAGCAGCAGCTTGAACAGAACCTGCCAGAGAGAGGAGGAGGTGAGGACATCCCTGGACCCACCTGTGTGGGAGCAGAGCAGCCCATAGTGGACAGAGCTGGGGCTGACCTCACGCCGGGCACTACAGTCCCGCTGGGTTTGACCTTTCATGCCCGTCAGTGAAGGCTGAAGCTTGATGGAGACTGCAGTCAGCATTGTCGTGTAAGAGCAGCTCAGGCTGAATTATGTCCGGCCTCACATCGCTGACCTCCAGGAGTCATAGGCCCGCAAACTGGATGGGGCTGTTATGTGTTGTGCTCACAGTGCTGCGTCCCTTAGAACCGCCTGCCGTGATTGCACATCCTCTCTGGAGCCTCCAAATGGATCCCGACCTAGGACATTTGTGTGTGTGTGTCTGGGGAGGTGGGGCCAGAGATGGACCTCAGGTGTCTTCCTGGATTGATTCCCACCGTGTACTTTGGGACAGGGTTTCTACTTGAACCCAGAGCTTGCCTATTTTGTTAGTTTAGCTAGCCAGCTTCCTTGGAGGCTCTCTCCCGTCTCTGCCTTCCATGTGCTGAGATCAAGATGGCTGCCATGCCCAGTCAGTCTCTACAGAGCACTGGGATTCTGAACTCTGGACCACATCCTTGCAAGGCAAGTGCTTTACCTGTGAGCAGCCCATTGAACAGCCATTGCCCAAGAGAGAAGACTTTACCTGCAGGGATGCTTCCTCTGAACCAAAGTTGAGGGACCTTGCCAGGCCCGGCTCCATCTCGCCTCCCTTTGTAGACATGACGTAGGCCTTAGTGAACTGCACTAGACTTTCTCTCCCTGCAATGTTCTTGTTTGCACATCATTTTTAGTGTTCAAAGGGCTGAGAGAAGAGGGACAGATGTGGCTGAATGACTAGAGGCTCGTGTCTGTGGGCCCCACCCAGCCTGGTGCCTGATGAACAAGGAGTCCACCAAGTACGCACGCATTGGCTCGGCTGTCCCTCGTCTGTCCTTGTGGCTCCTTTGCCTGCTCTGTCCCCCACATATGTGCAGTCAGCAGGGAAAAGGGGGTGAAGAGCTCTGGCTGCCCAGTTAGTCCCTCAGGACAGGTGTTGTGGCTTGGATGTGACGTGTCCCCCACAGGCTTGATTGATGTGTGTTTGAACACGTGGTCTCCAGCTGGTGGTGATGTTTGGGAGGGTCATGGAAGCTTCAGGAGGTGGAGCCTTCGGGGAGGAAGTGATCAGTGTGTGTGTGTGTGTGTGTGTGTGTGTGT